ATCACAGAGTTGTCTTGGGATTCTTTCAGATTAAACTAAACCAGAAACAAAATTAAAGTACAGATGTGTATTCAGTATATAGGGCCAGACAAAAACTAGCCTAAAGTGAAAATCCCCAAGTCACACCAGGTCTTCGTCCATTTCTCTCTTCAAATCTGCTGTACTGCTCTCTAATGTAGGCATAGCTCTTTGCCATAAATCCTATTCAGACCAGCTCTTCCTGATAATAATAGAACAAAAATGTACAGCAACCTCAATATATGAATTCAGTTAATATAATCTATAAAATCCACCTCATTTTCATCCCTTACACCTAACTATTATGCATTAGAAATCTGCCAGAAATCTCTGTCGAATTGAACTATTGAACTCAGAGTGGCAAAAGTCCCTCCCCAGGCAAGATATTTAAATCATTTTCAAAGTTAATTTCCTGCTCCCAGATGGAGAACAAATCTAATCGGGTTTACTTCATTCTTCTGATGAACAAGAAAATGTTGCCTGCATACTCAAAAAGGCAAAGTGTCCTAGAAGGCAACCAGAGCACTTGCACTGCAACAGCCAAAGAAGGCTCTTCTATAAAGTGATGTGTGTGGATCAGCATGTAAATAGAGGTTTAGATTTAACCTGTCAGATCTTTTTGGTCTCCTGCTAACCCCTTTTTATAATGAAATTATGAACTGTTTGCAAGCTAACTGCACACAGGGTAGATTGAAAATAGTCAGAAAAAAATCTGGTATGGGCAAAAGGGATGTTACAGAAAACTGTCTATGCATTTAAAATGACTCCTCTCTAGTTCCTCTTGATTACTGATGGCCAGAACTTATCCCATAGGTTCTAAGGACATTTCCATGAACATTTCTGAAAGCCAAATTTCTATGAGAATTGGAAAGAACTTAATGAGGTCACCTGATCAGGAGACATGGTTTATAGAAGAGGAAACAAAAGTCTAATCATCTTAAACTGTATACATCTATACATATGTACATATGATACAGCTTAAGATAATACAGGGTAAATAAACATTTGAGTTATTATTAAAATTCATACTATCAAAGACAGATAATATCATCATATTATCAAAACCAGAAAATAATCAGGATTACTATTCTAAACAAAAGAGTTAGTTGATTCTATTTTTGTATGTGTTTCTAAAATACCATTGGAAAAGGTGTGTAATAGCACCTACAGGTGTAAATAAGGTGTAAATAACACCTTCAATGTATATTTAAGAGTTTTTGAAGCAGGTTGCAGTATTAATGAAACCTTAAATGCAACGTTAACTAAATTTTTCCCAATCTCGGCATATGATATGTGACTTTTTAGTGCTTTACTGAGCCAGATGTTATACTTACAGAAAAATTGATATGATCAATTTAAGTTTACTTAACAGTAATAAGTTTTAAGTCTGCACAAGGAAATCAAGTGTTCATTACTAAAAGCATAGATCTTCATTCATATTTAAATTTATTTTTTGTGTTTTTATTTGTGCATTATATGTAAGTATGAATGAATTACTTGAGTTTAATGTTTTTAGGTATTGCTATAATCCAGGGAAAAAAATTAACTTTCATCAAGCTAATGCTGAATGGATGAATATGCATAACAATTATAACATCATTAAAAAAAAATCATTTGTTTAAGTCATTGAAAACTACCACTTAAAAATAGCTTATTTCCAAGAAGTTCACTCATATTAGTTACTTTAATCAGAACTTATCTCAGTTACTTTCCTCCTTATGTCTTTCTGACCAGAAATTCTTTTTTCATTCTGCACTTAAATTCTGCACTTAGTGACGGAGTTTACTTCCTACTGAGCAGTGCTATAATTTACCATACAGCATGATCAACCCTGCCACAAGGATTATGACATTTAGATGCTCTATTGCTTACTTCCTTAATTTTACTTTCATTCTCTGACAAGTCCACATAGACTTTTGCATATCCAAATGCATATATATCCTTTGGGATATCTCCAAACCACTCCTCAGTGAACCTAAACTTATTCACTGAACTGGTCTTGACCCCTTCTGCTTTCCTGTCATTTAAAGAAAAAGAAACATTTATTCAAATATGCTGAAACAAGCTCAGCATGAAAAAAACAGGCATGCTAACTTTTCAAAGATCTCTTCTAGAGCCCCACTATAACAGACTAAATTGACAAAGGATAGCAGGCAAAACTGAAGACTGAAGGATACTTCTCTCTCATATTGACCTTGAGGAGCATATAACAGATGAAGAAGCATACATTTCATTACCGTACTTTCAGACTTTTTTATCCCTTCTTTCCTTCTATTTAAGATAGTTACTATTAAGTCTGTCTTCCTACAAATCCTAGAGTATACTCTGAGTTTCATCTGGGTTATAGGCAATAAAATAAGTGGCCTTTATTTAGTTAGTAAGAACATTATATTTAGCATTTTTGCCCTCTAATAAATCTTATTTGAAGTCTTTTATTTTTTTTTATGTGAACTTCCCTTGTGTAGCAAGTGTTTCATTAACTCAGACTATTTTGACAAAAACTGATATATGATCTATATGCTGTTATAACATTCCATTTATCTATTTGTTCTGTTGTTAAATTAGGTATTATATTGCCATAGAATAAGAACTCTACGTTTAAAAGATTATAAGTTTAAAAATTCTAAGATGAATTTTCTCTCTCTCTCTCTCTCTCTTTTTTTTTTTTTTTAATCAACATTTTCTATTGTCCAGCAGGATGTTACAGGATCCTTCTGCTTTGTGTGCTTAGCAAAATCATTATTAAGTCACAATATTTACATAGCATAATCTTTTTTTCTTTAAGAAAATTTGTTGCTTCTGATTTAAAACAAGCCCATTAATAATTGCAACAATGTAATAAAATAAGTAAAGATAAATGCCATAATGCCACCTTTATTGTGCATCATCAACCAGATGATTGTACCACTTGAATATCTATACCTTCTAGCTTCAAAATGTGGATAGTTAAAAGTTTAAATAATGATATAAAAGAAATAATTCATAGACTGTCTCATGTAATTTGGAAGGAGTCCACAGTGTTTAAAGTACATGTAAAAATGGATCTATGTAAACTATTTTAAAAACTACGTGAGAGTGAATATATTTTTAATAACTTGCAGCAAATATTAAGTTCCCCATACAACAAGTCTTGCTGCTTCTTCTACTTTATTATAGTATGTTTTATGAAAAAAAAAATATATATATATATATATATATATTATACTTAATTGTCTTGGTTTTGAAAATTGGATTTTCATCCAAGTATTTCATAGGAAAAAGAAACCTCATTTCTTTGTATGTGACCATTCTTCCAGTCAGATGACATCCACTAAATAAACAGAAGCATCACTGAAATGACTGTGTTACAGAAATTCAGGCAAGATTGGCAAGATTATATTAATATGTAATGCTTAGCAGATGATATACAGCTAGATCATCGTTTCAGAACCAGTCTCTAACATAAGAGGAGAATAAAATGAAAATATGACCTCTGTTAAGTTGAATTTACCTCTAGATCGAGACAGTTTTTTAGTTTTTCTCAAAAAAAAAAAAATCATTTCCTCCAAAAAAGCAGAACAAAATGAAAAGCTGTAGTTGGAGAAAAATGAAAACGTTATTTAATTTTGAAAGTAAACAGATTGCTTCATTCTGAAAAGAAAGCAATTTTTTTTTTTCTTTTCGTCATGAAACATCTAACACAACACGAGAAAGAAAACAGAAATTATTTTGTTTTCAGTTTTCAGTACAGTAGTAAGCATATGGGAAGCAAGATTTTCTGGGAAGTATTTCACTTTACTAAAAAAAAAAAAAAAAAAAAACATTGTGTAGTTGAAAATGACAGCTTTAAGGCACACAAGTCTTTCTTCTAATTTGGAACAAAGGCAGCAGCCGTACTGTTAAGAGCACATTGAGCAGAGTTGATCTAAGCTTAGCTTGACTGTCTTAAATAGTTATCTTTAAAGGAAGAGGTGGTTTGAAACTGGGGAGAAGAGGGAGGAAGGGGAGGATGCTATTAACCCCAACATGACAGAGACAGAAACAGGTAACTGCTGCTCAGAAGACACACTAAAGTTCTGAGTATGATGTAGGAAAAGATGTATTACATTAAAAAATTATGATCTCTATTGAGTTCCTGATACATAGTATCTACTAGACATGAAAAATAATAAATATGAAAAAATTATTAATTTATATTCCCTGGTTCATATTTTGAAGGCCCCAGCATGGTTTCTTTTTATTCTAGATATACTTGGTTGTCTAATATCTGGTATTACCTTTCTGACTAGCCTTCAAGCCTTGCCTCTCTTGCATCTTTAAACAATCACAACTCCATCAGCAGCATAAGGAGAAAAAAATGTTGATTCTTTCTGCATTTAATAATCCGTACAAAAAATATTTGAAAACATAGTGGTTTGTTGACCCTAAGTAAGTATAAGTGTAAGAAAATGACAAAAATGTGTATATAAGACCTTTAGTGTGGGATCTGCTAAAATGGGCTGAAGATTAGGATTCTAAGGTTCCACAAAATATAATCCTATTATGATAGGATAATTTTTCATTTGATCAATTCCTGTCAGTTTGTCTTAAAAATCTACATGCTAAGCTTTTCTGGTATCTAAGAGGAAATTCCTCCAGTTTTGCTCTTTAAAGCAAATGTCAGTTGTGATAGACAGGCTTGTGAAGAAACAGGAAAGCATATTGGGAATGCTATTTCTAAATATGAATGAATCAGACATTAATAGTAGAGATGTCAGACATGACTGAATACCAGAATTACACAGTGAAATTCATCTGTTAATTTCTTCCACTGTTTAGGAAGGCAGGCACCAGTGAGCAGCTTTCATTCCTCATGAGGGACTTTCAACAATAGTTTTGAAAGTTGAAGTGACTGTGCCAATATTGACTCCTGGAGAAAGAAAGGAATACAGTAAGGAAAAGCAAATGGTTATGTAGGAGTATTAGAGCCTCAGACACAGAAATAATTCTGGAAACACAGTCAATTATTTATTTATTTTTATTATTTTAGCATTGTTCTTACTTAATGTTACACATTCAGATAACTGGATGAGGTACAAATCTAGCTTCTCACAAGGGCTTCATTGGTTAAGTTCAGGAGCAGCTAACATTCAGGCTACATCTCTGGCAGACTTTCTTGTAGTCAGTCTAATGAGAGAAACCATCACATGAAGATGGCAGAAATTGGCAAACTGCTGAGAAAAGCATGAACAGCGATTCCCAGAAGATCCATTCCATGTTTTAAGAACAGGGTCTAAGAACTGTAAACACAGAATAAGAAGAATTTCTTAGCCACACTGTAGAAATCTAGAAAGACATCAGGGAGTTAAGCCTGGGATCTTTACTTTCTCAATTATATTATCATTAGAATAAATAGGGAAATACATCTGTCAAAGTGACAGTTTGCATATGGTCTTTGAATTGTACAGTTGTTCCATACAGTACTATAATTCTTTTTTCATTTTAAGCTTTCATTCAATGCCAGTAATATAGTGAATCTTGTTCATAATTTAATTTAGCAAAAAAAGGCTATGAACTTAGTCTGAATCCAAAATATTCCTACTGCTCCTTCATGTATTTACAATAGTACTTACATAGTCTATGGGTTAAGCAAGAATATTTCATAAGCACTCTGATATAAATAATTAAACATGACACTGCAGATCAGTAATGGAATATCAGTTACTGCCATAAAATCTGATTTCTAAATAAATCCACTTACAGTGCAGGTTAGGTGGGCTCCTGCCTCATCCATGTAAAAGATGGAAGAACTAAACATGCAACTCAATGGTAAATGTGTGATCCCACTGTAATCCATGAACAGAGCTCCACCAGGTCATTATTCAAGTAGCAATACTGAAAAATAAAATTGTTATCTCTTTGAGTGCATCTGAAATTTGTCCATGAGAATATGTTACCAGTTGGATAACATCTATATGAGACAATTAGAATGAGAAAGCATGTTATCCATTTGGAGACCAGAAAATTGCCATACCAAAGAAGGAATACAGCAAGTATTTAGCAATTGTGAACTTTTAAACCTCTGCACAACTTTTGCCCATTCTGAGCAAGACTGCTGCTATGAGCTTTTATATTTTTCCTCTTCAAAAGAATGGGCCTTTAATTCACATAAATATCATCATGACAGTTGAGAAAGAACTGTTAAAGGTGTAAATAAAGGCAGTCTTATCTTGAAACACATACAACAGCAAATGCACAGGCAAAATAATTGGAGAGATGTCTGGCTACCTGTGGATTTTGGATACATATTCATGTCTTACAAATCCAAATATAAAATGCCGCACAAAATCTCATTCTTCCTTCTAGAGTAGAGAAACTCCTGTGATACTCACAGAATGAATTTGGGGGTGGAAATAATTTTTTTCTGCCTAACTTGAATCTGATATAACTGCTCTGTAAAATACAAGCTAGGACTATTTCAGAGCAATGTTTCTGAAAGTCAAAGGAAACTGGCATTTCTAAACATAAATTCTATAAAAATATTCTTCTGATAGTAACTGTTCTACTACTTTTTATTCTAAAATGGTTCAGAGCAAAATACTTCTCTTTAAAAACTTCAGGAAAACTTAAATAAAAAAACATTAATGTAGAGGAAAATATATATTTAAACTATGATATAAAATGGCAATACTTTATGGTATTCCTTTAGCAAAGTCACTCATATATTTGTTTTCTTTAAGCTGTGGCAGAACATTCAGGCCATTCTCTGCCATAAGCAGCTGTCTGTCACTCCACTGTATTTCAAGGTATTTCATTCTATGTAATAGCATATGCTGACAGAACATATGATCTAGAACATGTACAAATGTCCCTCAAGGCTAATATAAATTCTTCAGAGGTATTTGCTGGTGGAAATCATTGCACTTCTCACTAGGAGGGTGAGAAAAGACCTTCCTTCAAGCAATTAGCTCTTACCTCATGAATTCTTTGGAGGAGGTTCCAATTTCCCAGCATAACCTTCATCATCCACTGTAAACCAGCCTGCAGGCTAAAGTGTGGTACAGGTGCTTTTTGATCTGACCAGTCTTAATTTTCTCTCGCAAAACAACAAAGGTCACTCTTTTTTTTCAGCAAAGTAAAACTAGTAAATATTATTGTCTTATTGAACTGGATGAATCCAGAAACAAGGTAGGGAGGTAAAAACAGTTTTTAAAGATTTTCAACTTTCTACCATGTGCCTAAGGTGTTCATCAATAGTCTTATTTAACAAGAATATTGAGGACAGATGGGTCAGTAGCCCTAGGATAGCTAAATACTCTAAAGTTCAATGTTAAAAACCTCTTGTAGAAATTTAACCTAGGTGGTGCTCGATTAGATGCAAGGGCAGGGTTTTAAAAACCAGTCATGATAAACTGGAGAAGGAACATCAGGGAATAAGACAGCAGTAAACTATTCCTTAAAGAGAGGGGGCAATCCTATCTTTCACTACAAATGTCTTACAAAAGCAAGTCCTTTCCTGAACTTCTACAACTGCAGACCTACCAAATTATCTGTATTAGTGAAAAAGCACATTACAAACCTTTTGCTGTCCAAAGTGCATCTCATCACATTCTTAATGACTTCATCATAGAATCATCTAGGTTGGAAAAGACCTTAGAGATCATCAAGTCCACCCATCAATCTGACCTACCAAGTGCCACCACTAAACCATGTCTCTTGCTGCCATCTCTTAAATACCTCCAGGAATGGGGACTCCACCACTGCCCTGGTCTGCCCATCCCAGTGCTTAACCACCCTCTCCATGAAGAAATTCTTCCTAATATCCAATCTAAATCTCTCTTGACACAACTTGAGATACTTTCCTCACATCCTACTACCTATCATGTGAGAAAAAAGGCCAGCAGCCTCCTCACTGCAATCTCATTTCAAGTAGATGTAGAAAGAAATGAGGACTCTCCTAAGCCTTCTCTTCTCTAGACTAAACAACCCCTTGCTCTTCTCTGCATGAACTCAAGCAATTCCATATGCTTCTAGTAGTGAGGGACCCAAAACTGGACACAATATTCAATATGCAGTCTAACCAATGCAGCATATAAAGGGACTTCCCTTCCCTAGTCCTGCTGGCCACACTATTTTTGATCTAGACCAGGATACTGTTGGCCTTCTTGCCCACCTGGGCACACTGCCAGCTCATGCTCAGCTGGCTGCCAACCAGTACCCTCAGGTCTTTGCCTGCTGAGCAACTTTCTAGCCACTCTTCCCCAAATCCATATATTAAAGAATGCCTACCTTTGAAATCGTTGTGAAAAATCCACCAAATGATGAAAGCGACTTACAAAGGAAGCAAAAGGTACCTGTATTTGAAAGAGGCCATTTTTATCAGTTTCCAGGGTTTCTTGAACACCTCAATATTCCATTAACATTATCACAAAGATTCATATTATCAGCAAACAGGTTTATTGATTTTCAAGGTCATCAACTTATTGTAAAGGTCATCAATTAATCTGAAATGTTACTTAAGAAGAATGGCTAGCCTTTGCTCAGATATCTTGGAGAGATATTTTGCAGTTTTATTGTGTAGTGTGTTTTTTTTCATGAACACAAATACGTGATGACATACTTTTAACTTACTTATATGAAAACACTGTGGTTAGATTAATGTGATATGATGACAAGGTACACTAGTAGCTTATTTTATTTACTTTAGGAATAGACTTTCTTTATATAAGCCAACAGAGGAAACATCACTTTCTACAGGTTTACTGTGTTAGGATATAATGTTGGGAACTTTCCTAGTCAGCTGTTATACTTTCTGGCATCACTTGTGCAAGTCTCTTAAAATGCAGGTAGCAAATACTATGATTATGATTAAGTAATCAAAGAAAACCCAATAAACATGGTCTTAGTTCATGTCAGTTATAGGTGACAGTTTTGTTGACATGATACATACAGAACCAGATGTGAGTAATGATACTCTTGACTTTAGCATGCTTATGTGTTTTCAGTAATGACTAAAGGAATGAATGAGGGCACTAACAAACTAACTGGGTAGACCCAAAATATGACTACAAACTTTGAAAAATTACAGATAGTTACAGATGCAGGAGTGCTTTTTGTCTATGTTCCAGATTCTTTCCTGTGTTCCCATTTAGTAGACTGCTAAGGGTCTTTCAGGACACTAATGATAATGATAATATTCATATAGAGAATGAATAATATTGCATACAGAGAACATAAGTTCCCACACCTAAATCATTTTACCAACATAGGGGATCTGTGTGTAATGTTAATTAACCTTTTTGACCTGCATGTTCACAACAAGGCAATTAGAAGCAAAAGCTAACAGTTGATTTATTTTGATTTATTTGATGCATTCTGCTGCTTATATGAATAATGTGCAAAGCCCATAAGTGCAGGAATAAGCTTCCAGAGAAAAGTAAGCATGAAGTTCCAATGTTTTCAGTCAGTACAGTCACCTTGCTCTTAGTTGTTTTTCTCATGGCCACATTGAAACGTTAAGACGTGATGTGTCCTTCAGCCTCTCTTTTAAAGTTTTTTAAGATATGTTTCCTCTCTTCTGGTCTGCACAGAGCAGAAAAAGCAGAATCCTCCTCCTGTACCTGTCAGCATTCATCTTCATGTTCAGTCATGACATTTATCTGCATTCTAATATGGAGGTTTATACTGCTTTCTAAAAGAACTTAGACATGTTTAAACCCTTCTGTGCCATCCTTTTCCTTGCCCTTCCCCATGTCAACTCCTCAGTTTTAAGTATATTTAATCCATGGAAGAAACATAAAGATTTAGGCAAAATGGCAATATTTTTTAAGATGTCAATTTCCAAGATGCTTGCAGGACACAAAATATTTTTTCTTTTCTTTTCTTTTACTTCTGATGATCTTTCAGCTCACCAGAGTATTTCCTAGGTTCCAAACAAAGTACAGCTTAGATAATTGTATGGCAATAGCTGGAAAATGAATTCTGCTATTGTACTGCTGTCTTGCAATTTTCCTGTTGGATTTCTTTTCTTTACATTGGTCTCCCATGAGTTGGCAGATATGTTTTAAGCTGTTTCTGTTAATCTTTATCACAAGAGGAAAACTATTTTTCCTCATAAATTACTTGATTGCTTTGCCTGTAGGAGAAAGAGCTGGAAATGAATGGACTGTAATGGCAAGTATCCACTTTTGTGAATGGGGCTTCTTTATGCACAGAGTACTGTGATATGAAATCAACAGAAAAGCAGTTAGTTTCTTTAATAGAACCAGTTTTTAAGAATGATTAGTTCAGAGACTGGAGGTGTCATGAAAATATAGGGCTGGTGAGAGGTATTATCATGTATTACTTTTTTTCTGGTTCAAGAGTTCTGCAGGATTTGGAAGATGATTTGCCTTACTTCTTTCCTTAGAAAAGATGAGTGAAGGAAAATATGTACTTTAAAACATGGTTTTGTTTGTTTGCTGGCTTTAATATTTTATTGACCTAGCATATTTAGGGAAAAAAAAAATATACATATATATATATATATATATTTATATATATAAATATATATATTTTTTTTTTTAAAAAAAAAAAAAAGGGGAGTCCTTAGTCCAAATTCCTTAAACGTATCTAAGTACCTGAGACCCTTAGAAGTCAGTGGAAATTAGGCACTTGAGTCACTGGAGAGTATGCCTGCCTGTCCAAATAACTGTAGAGCTTTCTAGAGTAACAGGCATAATAGAATAACCTATATAGATTAAATGAGATAAACCAAAGATTCAAAAATTGGCATTCTAACCAAGAGTTCTTTATGAGAACCATAGACTCATTGGGTAATAAGTATGCAAGAACCCAAGGAGGTCTCCAGTTCAACCTCCTGCTCAAAGCAAGGTCAGACAAGTGATCACACCAGCTTGCTCAGGGTTTTATCTAGTACAGGCTTGAAAATCACCAAATAATAACCCCATAATAACCATAAGGATAACCCCTTCCCTCTTTGTACTGACTGTGATTCTCTTAATACAGCCCAGGACACTTGGCATGCTGCTGGTTCTTGTGCAGCTCACTGCCAGCTAAGAGCTCACAGTCCTTTTCAGCAGAGCTACTCCCACACAGTCCCAGCAGGTATCATTGGAATTCCTTCTCCAGTGAAGTGCTTTCTGTTTACAATTACTTGATGTCCCTGTCAGCTCGATGCTTCAGCCTGTTTGTGTTCCCCTGAATGGTATCCCTGTCCTTGAGTGTGATCCAGAAACTTCCTTGAGTTTTTTAAAGAGTTGTTTAAAAGCTTTGTCTGCTTGCCCACCCTTGTCTCCCACCACAGACTCCCACCATGATGCCACCCTCGCTGGTCTTTCCCCTGTTATTGACCCACAAGCTCTAACCCAACCTATTGTGTACATATCTGTATATCAAGAGTATCTGTATATACAAGAGCTCCCTACTTCTGAGCTGCTATTTCACATAGGTGTTTCACACCTCCCTTTCCCCAAATCTCACCTTCCTTGCCCGTCTTCCCTGAAGAGCCTCTAAATGTCAGTCACAGGTCTCCAGCCATGAGTTGCCTCACCATGTCTCAGTCCTCCTTACAATAATGTTTTCCTGTTGACAAAGATGTCAGGTGTCAGGTGTAAGATGTCAGATGTCCATCCCTAATTCTGATACACCCAGGGCCTTCCTTAGATGGGTCATTGCTGTCCACATGGATGAAAATCAGGGGGAATTAGTTAGCAGCAATGTGGAGAAGGTGATCACAAAAAGTGATTGGATGTGTTGTTATGATCCTATATTTAAAAACTTTGTTTGGGGGTTCATTTAAATAGCTGGATTTCACTTTCAGCAAATGATTACCTATAGAAAAAAAACTGCTGTAGCCTTCTTGCTATCTCCATAAGGAAAGAACTATTATTAACTAAAGAGCATTTAAGAGATTCTATATCCAATTCTCTTTACAAGTTCATGAAGTGTAAAACCATAGAAATCTCATCTAGAAAATGCCTTTTAAGGAAGCTGACAGTTCTCCTCTACTAAATATTTTTGTTTAAATGCAGCTCTTCTGGCTTTATATCAGTGTTACTGAGAACAGAACGTGATTCATTACAGTCATCCCCTCATTTTTAGATGACATTATTTTTAATCCTCATCTTTACCAAGGCCTTTCACATGTCATAGTGATGTTTTCAGGATGGTCAAGGAGCATCTTTATTTTTAGTCAAGGTTCTTTAAAACACCTTGCCAGTATAATGTGTCCATGTTTGATTATCTAATCTATGAACAGATCAGTCGTCTCAGGAAAAAAAAAAAAAAATGTTAACTTGCTCCCAGGAGGCCGGAATAGCTATTAAACAGACATATATCTGCAACCATCTCTCTCTTGCATCTTTGTGATTCTGATAAAATAGATTAGTTAGATAACAACAGAAAACACTTTGCACTTATATCATAGTTTCCATCCATGGATCTCAAAGCACTTCTTCAATGTTAACAAAGATAAATAAATGTTAATTAAGATAAATAAGTCACCCAGATAAGTTTGTCTGTCGATATTTTATAGATGAGGAAATCAAAATACAAGGAACTTAGATGGCTTGCCCGAGGTCATATTGTAAACAAACAAGAGGACAAAGGAAAAAAAAAAGTGGTTTACTTTTACTGTTAGGTCATTTTTGATTCCAAGCAATAGCTTGAAAAATTATCTTCACTGATACAACTATTTTGGCATTTCAATTAAATTAAGCAAACAATTAATTGTTTTTTAACACGCTAAATCCTTTTTTAAAAATTGAATGTGTATGAACGTGCAAATCACATTTTAAAAATGTTGTACACAGCTCTACAAAAGCATTGCTTAAGCACATGTCCTTAGGGATATGTACTATATGGAAATTAAGAAGCTAAGATCACAAATTATGTCGCAGTATCATCTTCATCATCGTTATCGTATGCAGCCTTTGTGCAATAGATGTTTATGCTTATTTTTTTGGACACATACGAAGTAACTCAAACACCAATATTCATACACAAAACTAGGAGCTCTGCAACAAACCATGAGAGATAGGTTTTAAATTAGATATTCCCTTTCAAATTTATGGTGAGGCCTGAGCTCTCAAGGGAAACTCATAGCACTCATAAAGGAAACAGTAAGGGAAAACAAACAAACAAACAAACAAACAAGTGATATAGTTGCCTACACATGTCCATTTCAGATACTGTGAGATGTGTGAGATGTTTCATTTGGCCTCTAACTGCAACTCCAAAGGAATGGAGCTATTCCTTTGACCCAGTTTTGTTTGTTTGTTTGCTGGCTTTGTGCAGTTATTTAGGCAATCCCATACCATGTGTCCTGGTTCTTACTGTTTTCACTTGAATGACGTAAAAGTAGGTTCCAGACCCTCCATTTTCATCTTGAAGTTAAGGGGTCTTTGCTGTTTCAGCACGTCTACTTTTTACAGATTGCTATTAGAACAGTCTTGAGTCACACAGCTTAGGGCATTCTTTAGCAAAGATTAAGACATTTTCTTTTATTTGACTCATTGCATATTAATTGTTTCTAGAAAGTAAGGCATTTCTAAAAAATAAAAAATAAAAAGGACTGACAAACTGTAATCTTTTTGGATTTCAGAAAAGTTTTGGATACTGGTTTTCATAGTATCCTTCTGGACTAAATGTCCAGAATACATTAGCTAGATAAGTGTGTAATACAATGGGTGAGCAATTGGTTGATGGGTTAAGATCAAAGGGTTATAGTAAATGGGGTTATATCAGGCTGGCAGTCACTAGTGGGGTACCATAGGGCTTCATTTTAGGGCCAGTTTAATGTTTTTATAAATGACTTAGATGAATGACTCAAATGCATACTAAGCAAGTTTGCAGTTTATATTAAATTTGGGGGATCTGTTGCCTCCCTTAAGGGCATAGAGGTCTTGCAGAGAGATATTGACAAATTAAAGGACTGGGTGATCACCAGCTGCATGAAATTTAACGAGAGCAAATGCTGGTTTCTGCACCTGGGCTAGTGCAATCCTGAATGTATGTATGGTTGGGGAATGAGAAGTTGGAGAGCAGCCCTGCAGAAAGGGATCTGGGGATTCTGTTTAACGACAAGTTGCATATGAGTCAACAGTGTACCCTGGAAGCCAAAAGGGCCAACCATGTCCTGGAAGCATGGCATCATTAGCTGGTCGAGGGATGTGATTGTCCTGCTCTGCTCTGTGCTGGTATGACCACACCACTGCTGTGTGCAGTTTGGGGCACCACTGTATAAGAAGGAAATAAAACTATTAAAGAGAATCCAAAGGAAGGCTACAAAGATGGTGAAGGGTTTACAGGGGAAGACATAAGAGTGGATGAATTTACTTGGGTTGTTCATCCTAGAGAAGAGTAGACTGAAGGGAGACCTCAGCTTTCTCACTGTGGTGGTCAACAGCTTCCTCATGAGGTAGAGCAGAGGGGCAGGTAGTAATCTCTCTGTTGACCAGTGATAGAACCTGAGGGAATGGCATGAAGCTGCATCAGGGGAGGTTCAGGCTGGATGTTAGGAAAAGGTTCTTCAATGAGAGTGTGGTTGACCACTGGAATAGGCTCCCCAGGGTAGGGGTCACTGCACTGAGCCTGCTGGAGTTCAAAAAGTGTTTGGATAATACTCTCAGACATATGGGCTGATTGGTGAATGGTCCTTTATGGAGCTAGGAGTTGGAATCAATGATCCTTGTGGGTGCCTTCCAACTCAGGATATTCCATGATTCTACCATTCTATGAAATTGAACCCCTGGCACATTGCAGCTCTCAGGAGCATGAGAGCTCAGTTCATCTGTTCTCCAAGTCATGCAGAAAGAAACCCACCCCTGTCCTGAATTTCTCAAAGGGATACTGCATCCACAAGGTTATTTGGGCATAATACACCTGCTTTTTCTGGATTTTATAATGAAAGTGGGTTGAGCTCCAGGGGTTAGTCTGTGAGTCATGACTGAGGAGCCCACTGTGTGTCATAAATATATTTTAATAGTATGACTATTAATATGAATAGTTGTTAAAGCAGATAGTTTGCATTTAAAGAGAATGCATTCTTTATCATTTTTAAATCCACCGCTAGAAGAGTCTGTGAAGCCCAAATATTCAAAATGTATTTTATGACAGTTATTGAAATACTAGAAGCAGTTTTATGATTTGCTTATTACATAATTACACTTTAATTCGGCCAATAAAACTTAAATGTGATTTACATGGGCCTTGTATCTAATATACACAGAAAAATCTCAAACTTGAATCTATGTAGTGTCTGTTACTATAAGCAGCACACTAGGATTATAGGAAGAAAAAATGACACCTGTTTCTGACTGGCCTAGTTCAAGCAGTAAACTGCTCGCTGATTTAGAAATCAGATCATGCTTTCTTTGGCATTTATCCAGTTGCTGTCTGGACTGAAAGGTTACAGAAGCACACATACCTACATTTTGCAAAATGTAGAAAGGCCACTGAGTCACATATCCTCAACTCCTGAGGCAGAGAAAATGCTGTTCCCTTCTCCAGGTTTCTTTCCAACTTCAGTCTTCTAAGGCAATGTTGGACTTAAGGCATCGACATGCATTAGTGAGTTTGGAGACTGACAGTTTTATTCATTTTTTGGTCAGATTCTTAAGTGCAGTGTAGCAAAGAGAGTGTAAGATTTCCTTCTTGCCTACCATACCAGAATTGCCACCTAGAAACCTATCCCCATCCCCCCCACCCTTCATATTAGTTTTACATAAAATGTAGAAGGGAATAAAGACTGAGACAAGAGGTAAAATTCAATTCAAGCTGATAAAGATAATTGTTTGGATTATTGTTTTTTCAATAAGACCATCTATTCTTTAGCCACATATTGATCTGAAATGTTCTGATTTACAGGAACTTCCCTGATTAAATAATACAACAAACAGCTACATAACAAATGTGCTGAAAATGTTATTGTTCAGTTTGAAATAGGGCTCTTCAACACTGCTGCTTTAAAAAACAAAGTCCACAGAAGTCTCTATTTCAATGAGAGGCAAGCAAATTTTTAGAAGTCTGAAGTTTCAAACTAGTGCCAAGAAGTATACACATTAGCATATGTCTGCTCAGCAGACTGTAGACCCATGCAGTTGCACCCAAATTGTTCTATGGTGAATTAGGTCAGCTACCACAAGCAGTGTAGACAAATTATTTTATCAGCCTTGTTAGCTGTACAGACCTTACTTAAGAATAACAACAAAGATCTAACATGGCCATGTCTGACATGGCACTGGAAGCAGTCATTCATGGTACTGAATCCAGACCAAATGGCAGGTTGGAAACAATAGAGTGGCATTGACTTCAGAGGTTTTACATAATGACGCTTGTTGTGAACTCCCTCCTTACTATCCCCAAACCAGTCTGACTAACAGGCATATAATGACTAAATTGTGGAATTTTCAATCGTTTTTCTTTTTGTGGCCTCTCTTACTGTGCAAAGTCATAGAATCATAGAATGGCTTGGGTTGGAAGAGACTTCATAGATCATCTAAACTTTGTGTTTATTATCTTAAAACCTGTCCAGGGACAGAACAGTGATTCTGGCAAGTTTGAATGTTCACATCAATAGTAGATAATTACTTCCCAGAAAGAAATTTAGAAGTGTTTGGTCACTGTAGTAGTACAAGATCAGTAAGTGTTTGATTTCTTTATGCTATGAGCAAGAGAAAGAAAATCGAATACATTTTCTTGGGTGACCTTAATACATTTTCCTTGTCACTTTTTAACTTGGCTTAAAATATGATACAGCATTTTTCAGGTAGAAAAGGAAAGACTAAAAAGCATGTAATTCAGCTCACAATGGATTTT